GCCCAAAAAAATATTTCCTCAATCTGGTCACTTCCAAATTTCTTGGACTTTGTTTATCAGGATTACACTAAAAAACTGGTTTGCTCATATTCATATTAAAAAAACTATCTTGGGAGGGGTATATTATGATGCTGTCGTTAGCCATCACCTGTGTAAAAATTTGAATCATTTTTAGGAAAGCGTTTAATTTAGACTTAGTCACAACAACGATGTTCAAGATAGCTCAAAACAGTACTCCTAAGACATCAACCTCTATCTCTCGTGACTACAGTGATCTTCCTTCTCAACTAGAGTTTTATTTCTGTTGAATTGTGGGTCAACATCTCCTGATATTAAAACTCCTAAATCAGTGGTGACGAACCTATGGCACGGGTGCCAGAGGCGGCACTCAGAGCTCTCTCTGTGGGCACATGCGCCATTGCCCCAGTCCTAGGCCTTCAGCTGGGTTTTATTTCGCTTTAGGCCTCTGCCGCCATGTGCAAAAAAAAAAAAAAAGGTTCAATCAATCAGTCAATTTCAACTTCTTGCGGGGAAAAAAAGATCTTGCAAAGTTGGAATTGACTGATTGAACTTTTTAGTCCCACTCAGTCTGCTGTTACCACCACAGCCACTCCCACCCAATGGGCCACGCCCACCCAATGGGCCACACCCACCCAATTGGCGACACCCACCCGGCATCCGACAATGCATAAGTGGGTTTTGGGTTGCAGTTTGGGCACTCGGTCTCTAAAAGGTTTGCCATCACTGTCCTAAATCAATAATGGCCCAAAATAATTTGACATGTAGGATGAAAGACAAAATGTCATTTAAATACCACAAGAAAGTCAATTAACAGGAACATCCACTAGATTAAAAAAAAGAGAACATAGTCACAATGTACCCTTTTATTGCACAGGTTACAAACCTAAAAAACAGGCAGAGCTTAATTGCACCATAATGGCCCCCATCTTAGTATCTATGGAGATTCTCAGTCATCCGGATCATCGTTGTTCAAAAGACAACTGGACTTTTTTGCTTGAAAATATTTCACTTCTCATCCAAGAAGCTTAGATGAGAACTGAAACATTCATAACTGAAGAAGCTTCTTGGATGAGAAGCGAAACGTCTTCAAATAAAACAAAGAATATCCAGTTGTCTTTTGAAAAAGCACCTTTGGGGTCCCCATCTTAGTTTTTTCGTCCTCATTTTGGATACTCCTGCCAACTGATAGGATGCCTGCATATTATTTCAAAATAGTTTTAGCCACCAGGAGTACTTGTCAGAGTAGAAGAGTGGGGTAGAAACTTGTGGTCACAAACTAACATCATCTGCTTGAAGTGGCCAGCTAGCAGTGTGCAGTAATCAAGCAGAGCAGCAGGTGGCAGCATTGAGCTGATTTTGACTCAGTCTTAACTATATGGATAGGAGACCATGAGAAAATCCCAGGAAGTAGGTTAGATCAGCAAATAAGCCTTCAGGGGGCTATATTCTCATCCTCATTTTCATACCGCTGCCATGAAGGCTATATGGACGAATCAAAACCAGAGATTAAAGTCATTTATCTTTTAACAGTTGGGTCTTACCACATTTATCCAAGCCCTGAATTGACCATGATTTATGTTTTTACTAGAAACCAGCATTTACTTTGGGCAAAACCTGCCCCATAGTGAACAGTGGGTTTGCTTTATGACTACCGCAAAAAAAAAAGGTAATAAAAAAGGGTCCAGTCACACGGTGACCTGATTTACTACCATACCTATAAGACTCAATTAGGGTTGTAACTCATTGGTTTGCAATGTTGCTGCTTTGTAAAAATCATTAATATTGTGTGAAATCATTTTTTAATATTAATTATGCAGGCGAGAGTTGATGTTCAGGAAATATAGGTAGTCCTCAACCACAATTGAGCCTAAAAATTCTGATGTTGAGACATTTGCTAAGCGAGTTTTGCCCATTTACGACCTTTCTTGCCACAGTTAAGCCATTTTATGACCTTTCTTGCCACAGGTAAGTGAATTACTGCAGTTGATAAGTCAGTAACCAGATTGTTAAGTGAATCTGGCTTCCCCCATTTATCTTGCTTGTCATAAGGTCGCAAAAGGTGATCACATGACCCTGGGACACTGCAAACGTCATAAATATCAACCAGTCGACAAGCATCCAAATTCTGATCACATCACCATGGGGATGCTACAATGGTCGTAAGTACGAAAAATGATCATAAGACACATTTTTCAGTGCCTTTGTAATTTTGATCACTAAACGAACTGTTAAGTCAAGGACTACCTGTAATATGCAGATGTTAAACTAGCCAGAGAGTTCAACCAAGAAAATTAGAAGGAACCAAAACTTGAGTCTGTTTATCTTTGTTATGCATTTTGGTAAAACACATAAAACATAACTGCCAAACATAGATTTAAAAAAGGGGAAGTTATGTGGGCTCACATAAAACAAAATTCCACAAAGCAGAAGAGTTATTCTAGGGCAGACTTGTCAAACTCGCGATGTCACATGATGTCGCGCAACATATCAGGAGAGTTTTGCCATTGCCAGCAATGGGGTGGGGGGCGGCTTCCACATGATGCGTCCAGTCCATGGGCCGACAGTTTGACACCCCTGTTCTAGGGAGCCCAGGTCTTCACTTTCACTCTTTAACATTACTTATACATTTAAGAGGAATGATTCTCCTTTCCTGTGATGCGTCTTTCTGCTACCATCACTATGTGGATTACCTGGTAATTTAGAGACTCTCAAAGTAGGGCCACTGATGACTCATAGCAGCATCCCAAAATACCAGCCACAGCTGATCTTCAGTGTCACTAATGACCCACTCAGTGGTCACGTTAACTAGACCAGTCCACTTGCCAGCACAGCCCCTGTCTCAACTTGTAATTAAAGCCTTAATTTTGGATTACATCCTTGGTAAGACATTTTTTTAAAAAATCTTTTTAAATGGGGGTATGAAAATAAACACAATACTGCCAGTATTTTATTCACTAACAAATGTTAACTTACATGCTCTTAGGCCAGGGGTAGGTAACCTTGGCTCTTTTATGACTCATGGACTTCAACTCCCAGAATTCCTGAGCCAGCATAGTTGGCTCAGGAATTCTGGGAGTTGAAGTCCACGAGTCATAAAAGGGCCAAGGTTGCCTACCCCTATCTTAGACTAAGCATAGAGAGAGGGTTTATGTTTAATTGTGGGATCCCCACATTTTCTAAATAGTGTCCTACAACTGTAGCAATTTGGGGGAGCACTGTGCTAATACTTCAGGTGAAACCTCTGAATCTTTGAACAAAGGCAAGATGACAATTCTGTTCCTTTTTTTTTTTTTTACTTAATTTACTGTTGAAGATCCAACTGGTTCACTTTCATTTCATGCAAGCAGCCTTAAGGAAGTGAGACAATTTTTCTCATTGCTTCTGTTCAAACATCCCCTTTGGTGAGCAAGATTTAGACTTGAAATACTAGCTATTTTTACTTTGTGTGTCCCAAACTATTTTTTCTGCTAATAAAAGTCTCCAGCTTCAAGTCATAGCTCAGGCTTAACCCAACTTTTAACTCACTGGCTCCCTCTAGCTATCTATACTGTAATGTTCTGTAATTACAGTATAGGAATGTCTGCTTTGAGGAACTTTCTCTTTTGCTCATAGGATGGGGGAGTGGCAGAAATGACACACTATTTCTATTCCCATCATGACTGGGGAGTTGAAGGCTAAGAGTCAATAAAACAATAATTCCACCCAATCCTGTGATTCATCTAAGAGAAGTCAAGATATAGCTGCATGATATCCCAAAGCGTATAGTCTCCTTGGAACCTTAAACTCTACATTTTACATCTTGCTTCAACTGATAACTAGTGGCTTCCAGCAAGTTATTTTTTTCTCTCACTTCCTTTCTAACAGGGATAGTGATAATTATCAACCTTCCTTGCACTTCATTTTCCTAAAGTAAGAATTACCATAATAATATATACATAAAGGGCTTCCTCTTCAAAAATTATTGCCAGAGTTAAAAGACATTAAAGAGTTTAAAGAATTACATGATTTTCATCCATTGCTGACACAGTCCAGTAACTTTTTTGAATTCTGGAGAACTTTTGAGTTGCAACATACGTATTTAAATGCAGATGGCCGGTGATATTAACAAGCAGCTGAATGACTCTTGTCTCAAAGCAAATAATACACTGCTAACAGAGCTAAAAGTGATACCTACAGTATAATGGTAGAGATGACCACCAGTTAAGCTGGACTTGATTACAGACAACTACATAGCATATAGTTTTCTTCACAATAATATAGAACTGGTCTGCCAATGCCTTCTTCCAGGATGGCTTTCAATGACCCAGTTTCATCTACAGACCTAGGATTTCCTGGTTGTCTCCCACCCAAGATCTAACCCTACTGAGCACCTTCAAAATCAAGGCAAGTCACGCATACACACATTGAATTTATTCTACTTCAGTTTAAGCATTCTTTGCACAGTTTAAAAGCCTGCCACCCAAAGGTAGTGGTGGGGTCTCAGTGCTGTGTGGTGGCAGTTGTGATGGCAGGGTTAGAGTTAAGAGGCAGACAACCAGGATCTTCCTCAGCAGAATGAGCTGAGCAAGCAAGCACAGGAGATCCTTACCTTACTACCTTTCAATCATCTTCTTGTACTAAATAAGGCTCTCAGGTTTAACACTGTTTAACATAACAGTGCTGTTAGGTAACTACCTCCCCCAAAGTCACTCCTCTGATGGGTTGGGACCTGAAATGGATTGTTTCAGTGATACCATCCCCCCACCCCGAATCTGAGTTATTTTCAAGCAGCCTTTGCCCAAATACAGTTTCTGGAACTTACTCTCCGAATATATCTGAAAAGCACCCGGTTGGGAAAAGTTGTCTTAATTTAAGAGAACAAAATGGCAGTGAGAAAGAAGACTCAAGTACCGTAGGAAGTAATGAAGGAAATGAACAAAAATAAACCCCAACCTCGAAGGGTGGCACTTAAGTTGTAACAGAGACTAAAAACGACTTACTCTTTCCTCAGCTTCAAGCCACCGGGACTTCCCCTCGACAGACCAACAAGCTAAGTAAACTCGGTTCCCCCGCTATTTCAAGCCTAATCTTCCGGTGGCAGGCTAGGATTAAACCTAAGATTCCGGGTTTGGTTTGGAAGCAAAAGAAAACTAAAAAAAAAAAAGGGGGGGAGCAAAAATGCAGTTATCTAGGGTAGGCTTGATATTTCTGTTTCCAGTGAAACCCCACCTATATGAACGCCCCAATGCCGGAGCTACTCGACCTTGCTTGCAGTTACACTTTATCCCGTTCCCCACCCCACCCGCCGCCTCCGCGTCCGGGACGCGAGATAAGCGCGGCTCCTTCCAAGAAAAGAACGCTGCTAAACCTGCAGCCTTCTTCGCGCGCCGTCCAGAGCAGAGCAGGGCGCCTCCCAGCCTTTGCCCCAAAGTCCGGCGAGCCTCGCAGAGGTCACGCCACGGCCAGACCCCGAGAAACACAAAGAAGAGCGCCAAGAGACTCACCCGGCAAGAGCTTAAGGAGAGGTCGGGCTCGGAGGAGCCACTTCACGCGCAAGGCTGGTAACGGGATGGAGCAGGAGAAAGTCGAGGAAGGGAGGGGCAACTGCTTAACTGCCTGCCTGCCTCTGACTTCTCACCTGCAGCCGACCTCAGGCGAGGCACTGGGGAACTCCGCCGCCTTCGGCACAGGTGTAAGCGAGCCCGGCTGCTGGGTCCTAGCGCCGCAACGTCACCAACGAGGAGCCCAAACCTGCTTCTTATCTTGAGGCTGGAATCTCATCAGTCGCTGTTTCGCGAGTTTCAGCGTTCAAGAAATAAACGGATGGATTAAGCGGTGGGGGAGAGAGAGAAAAGGGCGGGATGGGGAGGATTGTGGCTTTAAAACCACTCCAGCCATGTACCATTTGCACGCATGCTTTATTTTTTTCTGTGGCCAAAGGAAGTAACACAGTTGTGAGGTCTTGGTCACAAAAGCCATTGTGTTTGGGAGAAAAACTGTATGCTTATTGTTTTATACACACTCACACAACTTCTTAGGATATAAACTTTACTCAAAAGATAATCTCATGTAGTTTAGCTACAGAGGTTCCAAATTGCCACTGTATTCATGACTCAACTTGTAGATTACATCTGAGCAATGACACAGAAGACAGCTTTTAAATAGGTTCTCCAGTGAATTACTGCCTGTCAGGAAAATGTGGAGGGCTTTAAAGACCAAATAGAAAGGGTTTGCTAACTTGCACCAAATGCACTGCCGTGGGGCTTAGCATGAAGGAGTTGTAAAGTATGGTTTCTGACCTAACATCTGACTTATTCAACAAAGTACATCAAATTAAATCATAATACTTAATGTATTATGTACATTATACTTAATATGTACTTAATATTATGTACATTATACTTAATACATTAAGTACTTAATGTATTAAGTCCCCATGAAGACAACCTTAGATAATTAGTGCCCTGAACAGTAGGTGGAGTTCAGTTTCCAGAATCTGCAGCTCCCACTGCCAAAGGTTGGAGATGCTAGGAATTTATTTTATTTAGATATTTATTCCACGTTTATTACTTTATAAGTACAGGTAGTCCTTAAGTTACAACCATTCATTTAGTGACAATTCAATTACAACAGCATTAAAAAAGTGACTTATGACTGGTTTTCACACTTGTGACCATCACTGCATCTGCACGGTCATGTGATCGAAATTCAGGAGTTTGACAACTGGCATATATTTATGACAGTTGCACGATCCCAGGGTCATGTGATGATCTCACAATTTACTTAACAACTGCAGTGATTTGTTTAACAACTGTGGCAAAAGAGGTCGGGAAATGGGGCAAACCTCACTTAACAACTTTCTTGCTTAGCAATGGAAATTTGGTATAAATTGTGGTTTTAAGTTGAGGACTACCTGTAACTCAAGGAGGCAAACATGCCTAATACTTCTTCCTTCTCCTGTTTTTCTTACAACAGCCACCCTGTGAGGTGGGTTAGGCTGAGAGAGAATAACTAACTCAAAGTCATCTAACCAGCTTTCATACTTAAGGCAGGACTAGAACTCATGGTCACCCAGTTTTTAACTGGGTGGTACCTTTACCACTACACTAAACTGGTGTACCCCAATTGCTGCACAGCTATAGATTTTCCATTCCTATCAGAGCAAACATTTTCTGAATGCAGGTCCACCATTGACTGTGCAAACAGATGATGCAGTAAGAGCAAGAGAAAGGAATGGCTGATTGCTGCAATGGGCTTTTGAGGAAATTTCATTTAAGATAGTTTCAATCTAAGCAAGGCTGCTCTTCAGGATCAACTGAAGAAGAGCATAGAGCAGCGGTTCTCAACCTATGGGTCGCGACCCCATTTGGGGTCGATCGACCATTTTTCGGAGGTCGCCAAAGAAGGCGATCCGCCATTTTCTTCCCTCAGGGGGCGCCGCCGCGCATGTGCGCCGCGCATGCGCAGAACGTTTGTGTGACGGGGGTCGCCGTCACACAAACGTTGAGAACCACTGGCATAGAGCCATGCTGTTGCTTTTCAATCTTGTTTTCAGCATCCCAGGAGCTTGCATCTGACCAGGTGGAACCACAGTGGCATAGGCAGGCCTTAGTCAAGGCCATCACAGCTCTTGGTGTGTTCTACGGAGGGAGAATATGATGTGTCTTTCTCAGGAAGCCCACATTTCTGGTTACTGCTGGAAATGTCTCCCTTCCAATTCCTGGTATACAGAAAAGGAAAACCCAAAGTCTCCTCATCTGCATTATGTGTAACCTCTACTATGTTTCAGGTTATAATTTTAACTTCCCTCAGAAAAAAATCCCTTGAGGAACTTTTCCCTCGGAGGGAGATTCTGCTTTTGTGGTACTGCAAGGCTAGCCTAAGTTCTGTTATAAATTGGTTTCATTCTTTTAATTCTCCCTCCCAGAAGTAATTCGTGTTTCAGATTAGGAACGTAGCAAATTTCAACCATTTCTCTCCCTCCAGTGTCCATCTTTAAAGATTCATTTATTGTGATGCACTGCCCAGAGTTGCTTAAGATAGACGGCCATATACATCTTTTAAATAAATGCTCAGATGAAAACAACACATTTGTGTTTACTTAGCTTAAAATGGAAGTAAGTACATTGAGAGTATATTTCCTATCTTAGGCCAGTGTGGTAAGCATTTGATCAAGGCCCTAGCAGGAAATAGGATTACCAGCAGTTGGTGTGCTTTCTAGATAATAACTTGGCAGTCAGTAAAATTTTTGGAAGAAGGAAAATATGTTCTTAGTGGAAGCCACTATCATAAAATGATTCTAACAGCAGATGGGCTACAGTTTCTATCTCTCCTGTATTACGTGGATATAATTGCTCTGGGTCTGCCCTCAAGAAGCCCTTCTCCAATACACTCAACGTAAAAAGCACTGAGGAAGTAATTTTTAAAACCCAGTTTAATTCAGAGACATGGCATGCAAGCAGAGTCACTTGAAGAAAACAGGCAAAAAGGAGCTGGAATGAAAAAGAAAATAATGGAAGGCTACTTCTATGTCAAACTAAAATGCTGAAAACAGTTTGAGCCAATCAGTACTTTCTTGCAGCTGGCCAGTAGGAGAAGGGGAAGAATGGTATTTCATTGGGAATCCCATATTCTGAATGTTGTAAACTGCATTTGCTCAGTCATTCCCCAGCAGTTACTATTGGGGGTGGGGGAGAGTGAAGCCACCCAGGTAGTATTCCTCTGTTTCATTAATAATGACTGTGAAAATGATTCAGCAGCCCCAATGCTCTGATGATTTAATTTCTATAAGGGGGTGAGGAGCACTTGGCCTGAGACCAGGAGCTGAGGGAAGAATGATTATTTTCAGGGGGGGAAATTATGTAGACAGTTGTATAATGTTTCTCCTGATGGGGCAGGCAGTTTCCCTTCATTGGGAACATTCAACTCATCCTTTCTCGTGGGATTTCCCCACTTCCTTCTATGGTCAAAAGCCCACTGCAAGGGAGGCCGAAGCACAGAAGTGAGATTGTATAGGGCAGCACAAAATTGCTGCCAGAGATTTAAAGGAGAAGGCTGGTGGCTGCATGGAAATGGTCCATGTGAAATAAACGACAATGTAATTTATAAACAAGATGGTTTAATATATACAGTAAATGACAAGTTATAAAAAAGGATTTGGTTAAAAGTATTTCTATTTCTTTCTATTTGGTTGCTTCTTCTCAGCTGATGCTTTTCTTTAATTAGATTTCTGGAAGTTCTAGGCTAAATTTGGAATATAAAGGAAATAGACACTAGGGAAAAAGGTGTGTTCCCATCAAGCATATTTGAGGCTGTTGAGAGACAAATATGAACAATATTTCCTGAGTCATGATCTCATTTTTGGTAGGCAAACAAGTTGCTGATATCTTCAACTAACTATAGTTTCCATTGTTTCACAGCTAAGAAGTTATGATGATCGAGTTTGGAATAAATCATTTTCTTAAACCATTCTTCAAATGATCTGAAGATTCAATCTTATTTTCTGATAATCTTTGTTTAATGAGTCAGATAATAACAGGAAATATTAATATTTTCTAATTTAATTTTAATGCTCAAACAAAGATGGCATGATAGAATTGGATGAGATTGCAAGTACTGAATTAGAAGTTCTGCAACTTGCTCTTTGCTTATTAATCATTTGAAGTTGGAAGCAAATAGTTATCTTGCAGAGCCCAACACAGAAGCCAGTTATTCTAATATAGCTAGAGACCCCTTCCTTGGCATCAAGCAAGCTTCCTGCCTCAGCTAATCTTTTTAATTTTTAGATTGATTTTATAACCTAAACAGAAAGTAGGCTCCTATAAAGCAGAATGTCAACCTCTTGGGTTATCTTTCTTTTCACAAATGCCTCTGGACTCTATATTGACTTCAGCAACACACTCAGTAACCAGAAATAATGGGTATATGGCTGCAACCCAATGTTTTATCTGGAAATATTTCCACCACACTATAAAAAAGATGCAGGCAGCCTGGGTTGGAAGGAGGCATACTAAGGAAGCAACTTCAGGAGTTTGCTTTGAAAGGAAGGAGGGAGGGAAATAGTCTCTCTCTCTCTCTCTCTCTCTCTTCCTCCCCCTTCCCCTCCCCTCCCTCTCCCTCTCCCTCTCTATATATGTCTTAAGTGTTTTCTATATATGTCTTAAGTGTTTTCTACGATGCACCCTGTCAGCCCAAATATGGGAAGAAGAAATCTTTGGCCTGTATCAGGGATATCCCCAGGCAGCAGTCGCTACTGCGACAATAATTTTTATGTTAAATTTGGATTGCTAACAATGAGTTAAAGGGAGACTGGTATAGCTATTTCGAGCTACTTAGCTCTCATCAGCCAGCCATACCCTTCTGAAATTCAAACCTTTGCATAAGCATATATATTACAATTATTAACCAAGCAAAATTTAATTCAGGTGTAACAATCCAAATTATTTGCCCTTCCTATTCCAATCATTTTATGTACAAACTATAGAGGCAGAACTAATATTAGGCAGTTTCTTTCTCTTGCCAGTATGTTAATGTTAGGTGTTGACTGGCCATACCCCTCAAATAATATAGATGTAGATATGAAAAAGTGTCACAGAATCTTTGATGGATTCCAGTACTTAAAGCTTTTTTTTTTTTAAAAAAAAATTCTTCCCTACATAATTCTTTATAACACTTAGAAATAATTGTTGTAATAAAATCCATCCATGCCATTGCTACATCATGCAAATAAATGTTGAGTTTTTCTGAATCAAGGCACTAATGGCATTTCAGATTGAAAGCTGCAGTTCTGCTCTCCAACACATTTGCAAAATGTTCCTTAATGTCCCTCCATCAAAGACAATTGTGATCAGACTTCGAAACTACCTAGTTGAACAGTCAATAAAGTAAAAAAAGTGTAAGCCACACCATGATTTGATTTCTGCAAATAATCCATTTCCACATATAGTTGAAAGCACTTAGACTACAATAAAACCCCAAAATCTAAAAACCAGTTTATATTGCCACAAATTTCTAGCTTGGTGCTTTAATCACTTCATCAAACTTGTTCTTTCTTGGTAACTTAGTCTGTTACTGTTCCTACTATCTGGAATTATCTCACCTAGAGAGAGATTTGTGTCGGTCTTAACCTTCAGGAAATTATTGAAGCCTTGGTTGTTTTGTCAAGCCTTTTTGTCTTGCCTTTTTTCTCCTTTTGGTCTGATTTGTTTTGTTTTGGGATTTGTATTTTAGCCATGTTGGAGTTTTTAGCTGTAAACCACCCAGAGTCATTTAAGGATAAATGCAGATATATTGTTAGTTCCCTCAGTAATTTATGCAGTAAATTCATCATTTATGTCATATAAAATTGTCTCCAAAATGACTCTGTTCATAATACATAATTGTTGGTATGTGAACTGAACAATATATTTATTTTAAATTAAATTGTAGAACTGTGTTTGCTAATAGGTTCAAGAATCCAAAGGCAAAATTCAAAAGCATTTGTCTTACTTTCCCAATATTCATGCAAAAGAAGAATGGCCAAGTAATGCCTTTAAAAAACCTCTTTATTAAATTAAATTTTATTAAACTTAAATATAGTAGTTGACTGAGCCATCTCTGAACTTCTACATTTGTTTACTCACTCTCTCTTGTTGCTAGACAATCTTAACAAATTACGCTTTTGTTACACAGCTTCAACCCTGAATATTTATCAGTAGCCCTTTTCAAACTGCAGCATCCTTTATATGTTTTTGCCTCTGTCGTATTTTCTAGTGAAATGGTGTCAAACAAAGGAAAATTATGGCATTTCCCCATGGTACTAAGTTCTAAGTCTGACCATCGTGATTTGACATATTTTGTTGAGGAAAAATGTTTAGTATTGACTAAATGTCTTCCTTGCTTCTGTTGTGCCCTTTGGTTATTTCAGATCCACTGTTGCTACCTGGAAATGTTTGCTTAAAAAATGTAAGCAGGTGGTCTCAAGGCTGAGACAGGAGAGATTGGAGATATTTACCACCGAGCTTCCAGCTAAAAGACTTAAGGGTGTTATTTAACTTAAGCAGCAACTGAGCAGATTAAGATCAAGTAAGGTAAGTAGTATATTCAGAGAAAGGTTCCTGCAGTAACAGCATGCCATGTCTTCCACACCATTGTGTGCTTAGTCCATGACATGTTTGGACTTGTTTCATCTGGTACCTTTAGTAGGGTTGTGTTGCTGATCCATCAACCTTGCAAGCATACAGCCCAAATATCCTGCTGAAGCCTGAGTGTATAGGTGCCCTTTCCTAAAAAATCTTTCAAAACAATGTTTCGTGAATTGGGCTGAACTAGCTAGATACAATTCCTCAACTACCCCAGGAGGAAGGGTACTGGAGCAAACCAGTCATTACTGTGTTCCAAAACATAAGCATCTTCAACAAGAGCAAAAGAGCAAATGATAGCATATGTGATGATTCATCAAACAAATGCCACAAGTAAGGTACTTGTATCAGACATTGAAGGGCAAGTACTAATGTGTGCTGGCATTTGTGCAGTGATATCATTGTATGTGTCATTTTTATGTTGTGTTTTATTGCAGAAAGTGCTGCTTCAACCATCTAAGGCAGTACTTTTTACATTATTCTTCAAGATGTGCCAAATGTATTTACTTCCCTCAGTAATCAAAGTTTCAAATAAAATTATCCCTTGACCTATTCTTAAAACCAGAAACATAGATAAAAAGGAGAAGCTTTATTTGGAACTTGAACTCTCTGTGTGAAATAAATAAATAATTTCAGCATACTTTGGTTTCTTGGTGAATAATAGTGGAAATCTTTTGTATTATTTATTCTCTAACAGAGAATTAGTTTTATTAAGAATTCTTGAACACAGTGAAATAATTGCTGGATAGATGTTCACAGGTTTGCATTACAAGTAGATAAAGCAACAATTGCACCCATCCTTGTATGAGAATAACCTCTTTTTCATGTGTTGGTTATACTTCTGTTAAGAAAGTCTCTCTGGAATTTTCTCCATTAAACTGTGAAAGAAAGATAAATGTCAGTGGATTGAAAGGTAATCTGTTTTCAATTATTTTCCAGCCGCAAAGTTTTCCTCTTATCTGTCACTATTCTAGAACTTTGCTCATTCAAAAATTCTTTTATGACAAAGAAGAGGCCTTAAATTCAGAATGTGAAAAGTATCAGGTTGTTCAGAAATTAGGGGCAATACATAGGAATTCAATGTTATTTTAAAAAATGGCAACTTTGATTGTACAAGAAAAATTAAAATACATACTTACTATTCATTTTTCTAAATAATTAAAATAACTGTTATATTAACTTCCATTAAAATGGAATTAGAACTTTCTCCTCTGTCAGCGTCACATGAATTTATTGCAGTTAAAGTCCAAAGGTCATGACGATCCGTAAGCTAAAGGCAGTGCTTTTTGTCACTTGTTGAAAGGCATAGATATTTAGCAGCTTCCCATGTTATAAACTCTATTCTAGGTTGAATGCTTTCTGGAGCCCTGAGCAAAACAGGTTTCTGTGTTGCAATGGTATTTGACATAGAACACTGACATTTCAAGCTTGTTTCTTCAGCTGCTTCAGAATTTCCCATTTTTGTATGTCAATAATGTAGAGAAACTGACCTAACTTGTCTGACTGTTGCTAAGGGCTAATATTTAAGATCAAGGATATAATCCTAAATCCAAGCCAAGGCCCCATCTTGATAACCCTTATACAATTTGTGATGTACTTAGCTAAACTAGCCTTTTGTAATCTGCCAGATTATTTAGGAATCACTTGAAAATCGAACAATGCAATTGTCTGATTATTGTTGCTTTATTTTAAGAGTAGTGTGAATAAAAGTGTGCCCTAGGAATGTGTTGGTCTGAATAAATTATGTTGATACTGCTAAAGTTTCCCACTCTGTTTGTCCTTCTAGATATAATACAGATTTTACAACATGCCTCCAGTCACAGGCAAGCAACAAACTTAAGAATTTTTCAAGCCTCTTGAAGGAGAAACAGGATTGAGAGACTGTTTGAGACGTAATAGGACATGCATTTGGGCCTATCTTTCTTAAGTTTGATTTCAAAAATAGAAAATCAACACACATTAATGTTAGTGAACTGTATCAGATACTGGGAAGAAGTCTGCTGAGGAGAACTCACAGGTTCTTGGCTAACTATCATCTTTGGGTTTCAAACACACCTCTGGTTCAAAGATCACTCGAGTCACAATTTATATTATCAGTTGATAAAATTGGCCAACTAAGTATTGATTAAATAATATAAGCAAAGTAAAGATTTCAGTTACCCTAATAAATTGTTTTATCCATTCTGGATATATATTGTTTTACAGATCTGTTCAAGCATTCTGTGAAAAATTAGATCTGGTTGCAAACCTTCTAATCAACACAAGGTGGTGCAAATCATTTTCCTGAAGAAAAGGCCATTCTTTTTATTATGGTTTTTTTTCAAACCCAACAGGATGTCGTAAATAAATCATATAAAAGAGCAGTGCTTTTTTTCTAAAAAAAAAAAAAAAAGGTTCTGGAACTCACACATAAAAGGTGCTGGAACTCTGTTCTGAGCGTTCTATGAGAAAAAAAAAGCCCTGTAAAAGAGTCTGGGATGCTGTTTGCTAATTTCTTAACTGAATTACTCTCTGAAAACAACAAAACGGGTCCCAGTTTGGTGTGTGAGGAATTTGGAGGTAAAGCTGGCAAAAGAAAGATAAAATTTTATTAAATAAATACTTCTAGAGAGAAAAATATTCGAAAAATATTAAAATAAAAGCCTTCCAAGACATCCTAAAGGAAGAAGCAGCTGATAGTAACTCAGAATGTTGTTGGCTGGCCCATTCTAATCCTCCTCCCTCCTAGTCAGATGACCTAGAAGAGACTATATGTAACTCAACCTGGGCACATGTATGTGACAGGAATACACAAATGGACTAATATGCTATTTCTCATGTTGTGTGTGTGTTTAAATGTGTGTTATGTATGTGCACACTTTGAGAGCAAGCAACTAAATTTCATTTTTAATTTGTGCCATTGCACCCACAGTAAAAAAAATGACAGTAAAGGCTATCTATCTATCTATCTATCTATCTATCTATCTACCTACCTACCTACCTACCTACCTACCTACCTACCTACCTACCTAATCTTTATACTGTAGCAAATCATTTCCTATGGCCACACCACTGGTAAAGAGGTTACAAAGAATCCTAAAAGTCATACTCGGGAAGTTTTCTTCAGCTTGTTCATTTATTTCAACACTACTGAATTTTGGAAATAAATTATGTAAACAGACTCAGGATTCTATCTGATATATATATATATATATATATATATATATATATATATATATATATATGTGTGTGTGTGTGTGTGTAGGAGGTCTTTGGTTGTTCGGGTTTTCTCCCGCGTAAAATTGGAAGTGTCTTGGCGACGTTTCGACGAAGTCCCATTCGTCATCTTCAGGCTGGTGTTTTCAGCTTCGTGCTTCGAGCAGCAATGTGTGGTCTTAGCTGTTTCTTCCTTTTAACTGCCAGTGGGGGTATGAACTGATTGGGTGGGAGCTTGGCTGTGTTCTGATTGGGTGGAGGTGTGTTCTGATTGGTTAGGGGCGTGGCTGTGCTCTGATTGGCTGGGGGGTTGGCTGTGCTCTGATTGGCTGGGGGTTGGCTGTGCTCTGATTGGCTGGGGGAGTGTTCTGTTTGGTTGTGCTCAGGTTAGTCTGAGTTGCAGAGGGGTTTAAGATTTTGGGGCTGCCTTGCTATTTTTTGGCTTCGCGTTTGTGGTCGTGCCTCATTTTCATGGAGGGTGTCAGTTTGCTTCATGTATGGATTGGAGGGCTTTTAAAGTGGCTAATGATGCAGCTCTGGTCTGGCTTCTGGTTTGTGGTCGTGCCTCATCATCGGTGTGGCTTTGGGTTTGCTTTTTGCGTGGATGTGTGGTGGTGACATCCTGTGTGGTTTTTGTGAGTGTGGGTCTGGTATCATTTTTTGTATTAGGGAGTCGTTTGTCAATAAGGGCGGGTTTCCAAATGGCTGGTAGGCGGGAGGTATCATCTCGCTTGTTCATGCTGTGTGGGCGTTTTTCTATCTCGATGGCTTCTCTGATTATTCTGTTATTAAAATGTTCACTTTTGGCAATGGTTCTGGTATTTTTAAAGTCAATTTCATGTCCTGTGGCTTTAAGGTGTTGGACCAGGGAAGATGTTGGTTCCTCTTTTTTGACTGAGTTCTTATGTTCTTCAATGCGTGCACTTATTCTTCTGTTGGTTTGTCCGATGTATGTGGTGGGACAAGTGGTGCATGGGATTTCGTATACTCCTTGATTTTCTAATTCAATTTTATCTTTGGGGTTTCTAAGGATGGTGGATATTTTTCTGTTTGTGCAGAATGCTGTTTTGATGTTGTGTTTATGGAGGATCTTACTGATTCTGTCTGTGGTGCCTTTTATGTATGGGAGGAGGGCTTTGCCGTTTTCTTGTTCTTTGTCTTGGATTTTAGTGGGGGTTTCTTTTTGGATTAGGTTTGTAATCTTATTTCTATGGAATCCATTGGATGTTAGTACATTGGTGAGAGTGTGTAGTTCGTTTTTTAGGTGTTGTTCGTCAGCTAAGCGTTTTGTTCTGGAGATGAGTGTCTTGGCTACAGAGTTGATCTGTGCTGGGTGGTGGTGTGAGAGAGCGTGCAGATAGCGGTTTGTGTGTGTTTTCTTCTGGTAGATGGTGTATCCTAGGGAGCCATTGGATTTCTTGTAGACTAAGACATCCAGGAAGGGAAGTTGGTTGTTAGCTTCTGTTTCCATGGTGAACTGTATTTTGGGGTGTAGGCTGTTGAGGTGTGTGAGGAAGTTGTCCAGTTTTTCTTTCCCATGTGGCCAGATTATGAAGGTGTCGTCTACGTATCTGAGCCAGAGTTTGGGTTTGTGATCCGATTTTTCTAGAGCTTGGGTTTCAAAGTGTTCCATGTAGAGGTTGGCAATGACAGGTGAGAGGGGTGATCCCATGGGTGCTCCTTCTGTTTGTTTGTATTTTTGTCCATTATAGATGAAGTATGTGTTGGATAGGCAGTGGTTGGTCAGATCTAAG